GGTTCAGATCTGGAGTGGGGGAGTTTTCTTTTGAACTTCGTCTGAATTACTCCAGTAAAATACCCAGCTTTTTATAAGGGGGAGAATGGAAGTCGACACAAAAGTGTCGGCCAATTAAATTAGCAATAATAATTATTCTGTGGTAATCACTGCAGAGCAATATGATTCAGCTGGATTGCTTAAGGCACCTAAAATAATGTTTCCTTTATCTTATTATAGGACTGTCATATTCCTTTTTTTTTTTGTAGGTATAGTTGTATCATTTTCCGTTGAAAATTTTTAGTAGGAACGGCATGTAAATTATAGGTCATCATTCCCTAAACAAAAGGGAATAATACGGCTTTATTGTTTAACTCTTTGAGTCAGCCATCAAATTAACCACATGGCTTTTTAAAGATCTAGATGAGTGCTGGTGTGTGAAATGTCAGGTGTTTTTTTTTCCATCCGGAGAGAGTTTTTTTCTGGGTAATTCCAAGACTTTTAGAGCCCTATTGTTTCCTAAAGAATTGCGTGGAAAATGTTCGCTTCTCAGCACTAACCGGAGGCGTGCAAATCCCAGTTTTCATTCAGATGATTTGAAGACTTCTCTTCAGAATGTTTGTACTGTATGAAGATGCAAGATTGGTGCTGAAACTGAAGGCTGACGTTAAAATGCAGGCTGCTGCCTAACTCTGTCAGCTTTCCTTAAGACTTTAGAGTGCTGGTAGCAGGTCAGAATAAATTGTTGTACATGGCTGAATGTGCAGTTCGCACAGCTGAAACTTTCACACCACTACTCAATTAATCAGGTTCAGGGTATGGAATACCATTGTTAGCTCTGGTCTCTTTTTTTTCTTTTTTAGCAGACTCTGTGCAATTTAGTGACTGGAGCTCATAAAAGGCAAGGTCCCTGGAAGTTCATTGTTCCTACTTGCCTTTGACATCGTGGAATATGCAATTATACTGAAGCAATGCCCCAACACGACTCCCCGCTTGTACCAGGTGGAAAATGAGAGTCACCGGGCGGTCTGAGCTATTTCAGGTCTGGCTGTGATCTAATAAGACACGCCTGACTTTTCCCAATCTGACTGAAGTATGCATTAATTTGAGGTTACCAGCTGCAGGGAAGGCAGAAATAGTGCTGGGGCTGCAGTTACAAATAAATGTCACTGCAGATCTGTACCCGAAAACCTTTTCGTGGCTGTCTTTACAGGAAACATTCAGCCCATTAAAAAAATCCAATCGAGAAAATGTACTCTCTCCTTAATGGAGTACAAACCCTATTGGCATTACAGTGCGTTACCCTGCAAGCTTTTGACTTTGTGTTCTGAGCTCTTGCATATCCAGGCAAGTTTGCATTTCCTTTTCTCTACTTCATATCCAAAAGGAAACACCAGCAGAAGGGCTTGGGTCTGAAAGCCGACTACAACCCTAGCCATAAACGTGCCATGTGTAAATTATATGCATGAACATTGGGAACATTATGTTAACAAACCAGTCATTTTATTCTTAACATATATGCACAGACTAGGTGCCGCAAAGACAATGGGATCTTTTGTACCTAGTTGCAAAGCAAGAAGAAAACAGGACAAGCACTGATACAGTATACTACAGATTAGTTATAGCAAAGACAACAGGATGCCTGTGGTCTATAAGTGCATGGATGGAACCGAACTCGTAATGCATACAGCAAGACAGAACACAAACAACAGAAGCTCTCCCAACAGATCTTTGTTTGTAACAGATCGTTAAAATTGTAAACACAGGGGAGCAGCGAGCACATTCTGATTTCAATGGCTGCCCACTTCAAATCATACAAATAAACAGCCTTTTGTTCACAGGCCCTTTTCTTCTGTCTGCAGGAAGAGGTTGAAAAGTGCTCAGGACAAAATGCATGAGCGTGAGCAAGGAGTGTTTTTCTTTCTTTTTCCTGCATTGAAGTAAATTAGCAAATGGCTAATAGCAAATGACAGAATTATGGGAAAGAGGGGCATTAGCTTTCTTTTAACATATTTTTCTAGGACTATTTTTTTAGTCTGTTTCTTTTCTTTTTTTTTCAAAAAGCATGATGTTCCTTCCCCTGTCTGGACATCTGAAATCTTTATTACCCGTCAGTAGACTGGGGGCTCTCCGTGTCTCTCAGGGGTGCAAGCAGTTCAGGAAGCCTGTGTGAGCCCTCTTCCCCCTAGTCTCTGCTCTGTCATACTGGATTATATTGATTGTTACATTTACAAAACCCGACACTGTCTCCCAAATGCTCCCAGTGAAACACAGGAAAACCTGGGATACTCATCGACTTCTGCCGAAGGCTCGCACGTTTAACCCCTTTGTTGCTGCTGACATCAGAAACTATCGCTTCAGAGCGATCTGTTACCGATGTAGATACATTGGCAATCCTGTCTTCTAAAGTGGAAAAGCACAGATTTTGTGTTGATCTAAAAGCATCAGTTGTTATGTACATGGGCTGCCTGGACATTTTGAACAGTAATTGGGGGTCAATGAATTAATGAAAGGGTGGGAGGACACATAAACCTCAACACCCTCTACAGCTCATAGACCTCACTTGACCATCTTCTCTATAGCACCTGAGCTGGGGCAATTCTATATAATCCCCCTGTATAATGCAAGGAACTGTAAAAAGGCGCCATCCTTCGGATGAGACGTAAAACCGAGGTCCTGACTCTCTGTGGTCATTAAAAATCCCAGCGTGTTTCTCAAAAAGAGTAGGGGTGTTACCCGGTGTCCTGGCCAAATTTCCCTTTGGTCTTTACCAATCATGGCCTCCTAATAATCCCCACCTATGAATTGGCTTTGTTACTCCGTTCGCCTCCCCACTGATAGCTGGTGTGTGGTGAGTGTACCGGCGCACTATGGCTGCCAGGTGGGGCTGCACACTGGTGGTGATGGAGGGGATCCCCATTACCTGTAAAGCGCTTTGAGTGGAGTGACCAGACAGCACCATGTAAGTGTATGGAATTATTATGATTATTAATTATTCTAAAATTGAATTGGTGCATCCAGTTTTAGTGTTTTGTCATTTTAAGTTTACTGAACCGGTTGTTACACAGTATTTAGAAAGAATACTTTTCTGTTTATTTTAGACCAGTGCCACGCGTACATACAGTTCTGGAAAAAGGCTTGCTGGACCTATAGGTGTTTTGCTGTCCTCGGGAACTCATTTAGAGGGATTGCTTTTTATCATGGTGTAGTTGGAACCCTGGACAGGCCCATTTTAAATTCCTCCCTGTTCACTGTGATCCACATCGTTGACAAATAGAATGACGAGTGCATACTGTGTGTAGGTGAGGTCAGAGACAATAAAGATAATTTCTTTGTTGGGAACAAAATAACTTTACGCCGGCCACTGATGAGACCTTTTTAAATGATTTTACTAATACACTGATGTTATGTTTTTAGCAGTTGACATTGATGGAAAATATGTTTGTGCTTGTAACACACAACCCCCACCCCCCAACCTCAGCTCTCTGAGAACACACACAGGCGCTTTCCCACCCCCGTTTCCTGGACTTGGTTGTTAATTATTATTACATGTTAACCACCATTTGGTTTCAGCATTAGACATGTCGTCTTCAAATTATGCAATGTGCCAATCATATGATTGGCTTAACAGTATGAGACAGTAGCAGTGACTGTATCTCAAGTGGGCTGCACAGCACAGTCTAAACACACCCCAGCAGTGTGATGCCTCTGTCTCGCTGCAGGCTTTGGCACCAGCAACAAACTCTGAATGACATCACAAAAATGCAATGCAATTTTGTGTGTATTTTGAAAATGCTCACTCCCATTATTGGACGTCAACGCCCTGTGGTTTGGTAGAAGTTTTATCATTTCTCCCCCCAAAATAAATCCTTAAAAAGAAAGAAAAGGAAGATTAAAGGAAATGATTAATTTTCAGAAGGGGTGGAAGTGCATGAATTCACGATTCCATGCTGTAATCTTGTAATATTTAAATTTTCATAAGTGGGTGATGTAAATAGTCTGGGAAGCCTGTTTTTATAAACTGAAAACAAAGCAGCATCAGTCTCCGCAAATACATATCAAAGATGGGAGCAGACCTACTCAGCTTCTTCTTCCAGGGTTTTCAGAACATAAGAAAGTTTACCAATGAGAGACCATTATGTTCCGTACATAATAACAATAATAATAATCTTTGAAAGTGTCTTTCTAAACCCAAGGACACTTTACGCAGTGCTAAAGAAAAAATAAAAAAAGTTCAATGAGACAATAAAAAGAAAGAAAATAAACAAGACCAAACACGTTTATACAGATGGAATGTAGGGCAATCAGGCATGATCAGACCCTGGTAAAAAGTTCAGATTTGAAGAGAATTAAAGAATTTGTCTCTCATAGAGTCTTAGGACAGTCGTTCCTTGACACACTCGATTAAATGGGGCACTTATGAGTAATCTGTTTCTTCAGAAAAAGCTGTCTCAGCTTTGATTTTATACGATGCAATATTGTACTATATTTCACAAGATCCAGAAGGTTATCAACATTTTTGTTTTGATTGTTGAGGAATGTATTTATTCAAAGAAATTTCTTATTTCATTTATTTATTTTACATATTGTGGAGTATGGACCATTTACCAAAAAACAATCACGATTTGTCAAGACTTGTGGGGAATATTCTAATGCTTTTGTTGTTCTGTTGTTTTTTCATGCTACAGTATGTGCCCCTGGAGATTCCAACCGGAACACTCTATCTCTTCTCCTCTGGGAGGGGGGGAAGAGGGTGTGCATGGCACTAGCAGCTGTGTGGGACACAGGCCCAAGGGCAGGAAGTGACTCGACCTCCCCCGTGGGAGTTCAGCCCACTACAGCTCAGCCAGCCCCCACAGCTCACAGCTCTGCAGCTCATTGTTCTGGTGTGACTGACAGTCACAGTACAATACCAGAGAATCTCTCTCATACCCATGTAGGTTAAGTGTTTACAGAGACTGCATGAAATCAGATGTGAGCCAACTTCATAACTGTTAGAACTTTTATACCCTAGTTAAACATACAGTTCATTAGTCAAACATTTCCAATGCGCTCTGTACATGTTGACATACAACTATTTACATATAGTAAAACAGAAGTTATACTTACAGTGTTTACGCTACATTTGAAGTAAGCCTCTATAATGTATTGTTTAACAATAACAGCCCCCTGTAACAATATTTCCCAACAATACTTCTCTCTGGGGAACCCCATTTTAAAATGATCACAATCTGCAGCGACACCCCCAAGTTTCCACTGGCTTTAAATTTCAATAATTTATTTTGATATTACTGTTCATAAAAGTAATTACATATTCAGGCCAGTTCTACAGGCCAGTTCAATCTTTCAGTTAACTTAACCAAGGCATTCCTGTTTATGGGTGGAAAGCTGATAGTGTAAGAGTTAAATCTGTGGGCAAAACCAGCCCACAGGTCAAAGGGACTAGAATTGGAAAGCCCAGGTTTAGGTCATATTTATAATTGTTTCAGGCTGCTGGTAAAAGGAATGTTTTGGTACTGGAGGTGGTATTTCACAGGAAGTCTTTGATACCGAAATGCAGGCATACAGTGTCAGTACTGACTAATGCATAATAGTAAAATGTCATAATTCTGATAAACGGGAAGCTAGTTAATTGATTACAGAGGGTGACGAGTAAGTTTTTCTTTTGTTATGCTCAAACCCCGCCTGAATTCCGTAGTAATTTGCTGAAGAGAAATCAGCAGAATTTCCTTGTGATGTGATCCAGTCTCTGAAAGGGAAATTCCCTCTTGTCTGAGCTCTGTGCGAACAATTGCTGGCACTGCTGTATCAGATCTGGGACTGGTGATTTCCCCCCTTGCTCTCCACCTTATAATGTAATAATAATAATAATAATGTTTCTTTATTAGCCCTATACAATTTCTTGCATTAGGAATGCGTCTTTTCGCATACCCCAGCTTTTCTCCAGGGAGACACAGACACAGAGACAGGGAGAGAAGCTTGGGGTCAGAGCGCAGGGTCTGCCATTGTACGGCGCCCCTGGAGCAGTTGGGGTTAAGGGCCTTGCTCAGGGGCCCAACGGGGTAGGATTCCTCTGCCGGCCGCGGGATTTGAACCGGCAACCTTCCAGCCACAGGCGCAGATCCTGAGCCACAGAGCCACCACACCACACCGTTCCTTTCCCACAGGTGTGACATGTGCAGGAAAGCTACAGCACCACGAAGGACAGATCCTCACAGTGCGTAACCGGCTAATCTGTAGTTTCTATTTCACTTGAAGGGCTTGTGAAATACCAGAGGAATCCACAGATGAGGCAAACCACATCAAATTCTCAAGGGTTATCACTGTGAGAATATATTGTAGAGCGATCAAATACTGTATGTAGCACCGTCGTCAGTTCTCCAAAGTTTTGATGTATGTAGAGTGCACTGTATTCCTTTTTTCTCTGTTGCTCCTACTCTCCGGAATTCTCTTCCCACTTGTGTTCCTACCCTTTCTATGTTGGAGTCCAAATTAAAAACCCACCTTTTTTCATTGGCTTCCTCCTAAATGTCAGGGTTAGTGATAGACTAATGAATAAAGGTGGGTTCCGAGCTCGGACTGTTGTTGTTCTATTTGCCATACACCTATTTATGGCTATTTCCAAGCTCTGGACCGTCCAATTTGATATAGTTTTTGCAGCTCTTTGTTTTTATTTGTTGTAAACATTCTCTTATAATTGCACTGTTTTTTTTTTTGCATCTAGACATTGTGATTATTGCATAAAAATGTTGTTCATTTAAAACACCTTTATTTGCATGCATTTTCTTGAAAGATGGGGTACAAACTGCTTTAAATCTAGGCCGTGCAGTCTGAGTGGTATGCTCCCAGCAGGTGCAGATCTACGGCCAGCTCCCTACAGGGCTCCAATCGGCCAGCCTGCTGCCTGGCGAGCTTTATAAGGCAGTTCCTGTGAGCTCTGACATCACGCAGCCCCAGCGCGAGGGAGGGAGTGCTCTGTAAGACACAGGGGAGGAGGAAAGTTCATGGCCAAACGTCTTTCATCAACAGAGCAATCTCAGCTTAGGACAGCCCACGTTTTTTTTTTTCCCTTCGCTCTTTCTTAATATACTTATAGGTGTCTGCCGGCACAAAGATTACACCACAACTCAATCGCGGGGTTTAATGCCTGTTTCTGGCGCACACACACACACACCCAATGCACACACGCACCCCCACTCAGAGGAGGCGTCCACGGCTCACATGCTTGTCCCACACACACACACACCCCCACACACGCCCTCGTGTACTTACTCAGACCCACGTTTTCCTGCCAGCTACAACTGGAAAAGCGGAATGCGAGAAATGTGCTTGAAATTATAGAAGGGGATTAGTGAACGCTTTGCTTGTCCGCAGACAAATTTCCAACGATAAGGCGGAGAGGTCTGAGGTGAAGACATTCTGCAAGTCTTTACCAACTGCTTCCTGAGTACATTTCATTCCCTCCGTCCTGTGTAAAGCTTACAATCCCTGGGCTTGTGAAAACTGTGCATTGGCTGCATGTTTTGAGCACTGTTTTCTGGTCCAGTTTAATATTAGGTCCACATTCTGTTACTTCTGGTGCTGTTAATAGGTAATGTGACTGTTTTTGTAGTCCTAGCAATGCCACACATTTCAAGAAGAAAAAGACATATCAAGTGTGCGAAAGTGAACAGTGACAGAAACAAATGCTCTCTGACGTTTACTCTCAACGCATGTGGGCACGCACACGTACGGCAGGAATACACACAAAGAGGTGAATTTGACAAACACACCATGTCTGACTAATGCACTGATCACATCACCTGCTCCCTGGCCTTATCAGTGTGCTTCCAAACTCCCGGTGAGGGATTCGTTTGAGCAACAGGCTGTGGTTTCCACAGGACCCGGCCGTGCTGAACACGAGCCAGCGGAGCAGTCAAAACGGCCAAAGGAGATTGTAATGGAGAAAGACCGAAACCAAACTGGTATGCAGAAAAAATCCTGTATTGGTTAAGTACTTCATCTAGTTTTGCAAACATAGCTATGAGATTTTTCATTTTATACATCAAATATAAAACAGACCTCTGACAATATGTCTTAATTGCTCAGCCATGTTTACTTTTAGACACTTGACTGCCTAATTAAGATGAATTGGATTATTTTTAAGTGTATTCTTCGCACTCTATTTTTCCATCCTATATATGGTATTTTTCTTCTGCCTGTCAGATACAGGATTAAGTTGTGTACATATGGGGCTGCTGGTAAACAGCATGGTTTATATCAATCTGATAACGAGCCAGACATAGTGGGCTCCATCCAGGCACCTAAGCACATTAATCTTAACAAACATTTATCTCTCTCTGTGTATTGTTGCCTTACATATTATCTCCACTATTTCCTGCACTGCCTCTCCCTCTCAAACCATCTTTGTCTCTGCCTCCTTCTCCTCTTTGTCTTGTTGAAGGCACTGAACAGCACACAAAACATTCACAACTGCTATCCCTTTCTTGTAATCGAGGGTAAACAGATTCCAGCCCACAGAATGGTCAGGGTGGTTTTTATAGTCCTGCTGGCACCACATGGCCTTGTAATAGCGGAACCAGTAATTTAAGGCAGGTTAAATGCTGTGCTTGTTTAAAATGTTGTGACTTAGAGGAGCAAAAGTTGCAATTAGGCAGCAAAATTTAGCTTTTAATTTTTGTTTACTGGAAAAATAATAACAGACTGATTCTTTCTGGAACATATATACAAGCAATCATATCTTTTCTCAAAGGCTTTAACAAAGTTGTGCATTTTACAACTCATGGGTAAACTGTGCTGCTTAATTTCAGCTTTCCTTAACTGCAGATATACAGTACCAAGCTGCCAATATTAATATGGTCACACTAAACACTAAACAGGTTTGCTATATTTTTTCCAGCGCCTCACTGAAACAATGACTTCAGCATTCCAAATTCTTTCTTTAAATAGAAAGAAACTTTAATTTTTTTAAAGTAATCTCTGTCATGTTATTCAGCTTGTTTTGGGGGTTATAGCGAGTAACAAGATAGTAGCCATACTAGTACCCCTTTAAACTGTGTTTGACCTACAGAGCTATACTGAGAGCTGTAAAATAAATATTGAAACAGCAAAAACCTGCATTCTTAAAATGCATGCAAAATACACATTTTTCATTAATACAAACAAGGGCATCTACATTGATGGAAGACACAAATAAAGTGATAGTACAAGTGCTTATCTTAACAAACTCTTAATGGGAGGCCTGTTATTTACCTGGAGTTAATGGATAATAGTGCTGTTTTCCTGAAAAAAGACCTGATAGGAGAAGGAACACTGACACTCGAGTACACTCTGTGCCAGTCTGTCTTACTTACCTGATGTGCAGCACGACCAGTTGCAGCAGGATTTGAGCTCCGTCCCTGCCAAAACTGACATTTAGGCAACAGCTTCATTTAAAAACCACATGTTGCCACCATGGTTAGACCTTTTGAACAGGGACTGTGTCATTCATTTTCACTTGCATATAAAAACATAATCTCCAAATAGTGCAGATTTCGAGATGTATATCTTTTGCTTTATAAAACAAGCTGTTCTAACTGGGGTGTTGGATCATGCATCCATCTCATGAAATGGGCTTTAAAGATTCTGTACAGTACAGGTACAGTACTTAAAATATTACCCCATTATTGTAATAAACGGATTTCATTCTACAGCTGTACAGACCTCAACATGCTTGAATCTACGTTTTCTTCCCAATAGTCTGTGGTTTTGAGTCCGAGTGTAGTATTGTAATATGAGTGTAATATTGAAATTGCTCTTTGCAACATGAGCGCACATGTGTTCCGTCACTGGGCAAGTGTCAGAATTATTTTTGACATTAGACGATATGAAACCCTTCCACCCCATCATAACGGAATAACAGAGTGAACAGAGTAACAGGATTTCTTTAATCTGACTTATTGAAGTCTCCCTAAGCAAGTGGTGAGAGGCCGTCCTGTGTGTTGTTCATAACAAAAGAAGAACAGTTACAAACGAAAGGATGTCATTCAGCTTATCCAGCATGTTTGGCAGTTAGTATGGAATTGATCCCAGCCTCCTCATCCACCTGTTTCTTGAAAGAAGCCAGGGTTGGTTGTGTGAGTGCCGTTGAAGATTTTGATGACATGTTATCGGGTCTCCATGTAGTTTTGATCAGTTCATCAGATCCAGGCTAAAAGGGTCTGTTACACAATTCTGTAAGTTCACAATACTTCTGGAAACGTGCTTCAGTAACTACTCATGTATTTCTTGTACTGCTTGGGTTTTACTGTGGTTTTCTACACAAAAGTTACAGAATTCAAAAAGGATCTCATTTTGTCTGTTATGTATTTATACACTGTGGTTTTTCTATGTCTATACGTGCCTATTACGGCTTTAATGAGTAAGAATCTCAATATTCTCAATTCAGAGTTTCATCACTGCTGCAGCCCTACTGGATACACAGTCTCTGGAGACAAGGGGAAGAAGCAGAAGCGAGATTTACATTAAATGAAATCTCGTAGCTGAGCTACATTACTGAATTATTTTGGAGGGTCTGTATTTATTTTTAAAAAATCTGCCTTTCTTTTACCGTGTTTCTGTACTTTGTAGAATACGGTGGGTTTTTAGTGAAAACCCTCCATTTATGGCAGTGCTTAAAATACGAAAGAAATAAAAAAAAACCCGATTATTCAACTCATCTATTTTCAATTGCCGGTGAGTCCAAAACTGTACATGGTCGCAGGGTCGATGTTCCCACTCTCTTGTAAAAAGAAGTCTGAAAATGACATTTTCTGTCTAAAATGTTGATGATGTCTTTAAGTGAAGGGGCGGAGCTGGATCTCAGAACTGCGCTCAGCGTATAAGAGCAAACGCAGAAGGTTCATGAGCTAGTGTGTTGTTCCCAATTCTGAATGTAGAGGCGGTGAGGTGTCGAAGACTTGTATATTCGGTTGGCTGTATTAGTATTTAAGGTAACAGCTGACAGGAACTTCTGGATACAGACAGCGTCACAAGGGATTTACCGATTATGCGCTAACCCTGGCGAAGAGTGAGAAAATATTAAATACTACGCGGTGTGTAAGGTGAGGATTTTATAATTCGTCGGACTGGGTTCTTCGATGCTATTCGAAAGCAGCGCGGTGTGTAGCGCACTGTAGCAATATGCAGATAGAAGATTATGAAATACAATATATTATATACTGTGTAGATATACACAAAACAGCAGTTATTCGTGTAGAATAAAGTGTACAGTGTCAAACGCGGTACACACACACACGCGCGCGTCATATTGTAAATTCCATTTTTATGCAAACGGCAAAATAATTTTATCTCGATCAAAATGATTTTTCTTTGAATTATTGTAAGGTGCCTTCACAGTAAGGGATTTAAATTAGATAGTCGAATTCAAAAAAATAATAATAATTGACGCCCTAATGGTTAATTAGCTATATTGTTAACAGAAGGTAGGGGACAGTTCTTAAGTCATATTCATCATGTGCATACAGTATAGCTACCCCTTTGTGTGTTTAAGGCACGTATGCCTCTTATTTCATCAGTCGGCGTGCCATCGAAAGAATGAATTGTTAGCAGATAAGTGATTCGTTCCTGACTCACGCTGTGAGCCGCTCGGATACAATGAAGAGCGCGGCGCTGGCAGGAGGAAGCGAAGCGTGCGCCCAGGTGCGCTGGCGGCGCAGGAAGAGCGGGTCCGGTTGCTCGGAAACCGCTGTAGGGTGAGGAAAAGCGAGGTGTGTGTCCTCTGATTGTTCCTGTTCTCCTCGCCTCTGTTTCTGCTGCAGGAGAGCAGAAAGTGCTTTTGTGACCCTAGGGGCATCCGATGGGCTAATTTAGATTAAAGCCACACGGCTACAGAACTGTTGCATTGGTATGTAACGCCTTATTTCATCCTTGAACTGAATTTCTTTTCGAAATGAGCACGTCCAATGAGTGCCACATTACTAAAATGCAGTAACCCACGTGCATGCTTGGGAGAAGTTACTGTGTCTCGGTAAACTGCATCAGATTGCTTAAGTGTTGCGGGTAAGCTGTCGTTCAGCAATTTACTGGTTGCAGTAAAAGTAGGGACCGTAGAAAAAGGTCCCCTGATTTTTGTCTCTCTGTGTCGTTTGTGCGTGACTGTAGTGTAATTCTAGTTTAACAGCTAGATTCAGCAGACCTTTTGTGGGGATTTTCTCCTACTGCTTTGAATGCTCGCAAACATTTGCCTAAAAACCGTCGTTAACGGGTGAAATTGTGCAAAGTTTATATGAAGCAAGTACCGCGACTTTATTGCACCTACCCAAATTCGGCGTGATGCACAGCAAGCTCAGGTGGGCTGTGTGATGTCGGGTATCTCTGCGTGTACGGTATGCTTGTGTAAAGCGACGAGCTGGAAATGCATTCTAACCAATGACCAACCCAATGAAGAGTGCGGGGTGTGCACGCAGTCACACACAGTACGTGCTTTCTGGAAAGGTAAATATGCTTTCGACACATTGTACCCAGGTCCCACGTAGTTAATAATAAACGCTTATCAATAACATTTTTGTTGACAGCTATATGAGGGTCAATATAGTGGGCATGTGTTCGCCTGCTGCAAGGTCCTCTTCAGCGATCCCAGCAGGGAAAGCCGCGCCACGCACGCAGTCCTGTTGGTGCACCTGTTGCGCGGCGAAAGGCGAGCTGAATGAATGGGTCATTGTTGGGTATCGAGTCCCCCCTAACCCCCCTCCTAGCTGCTGTGCCCGGCTCCGTCCAGGGTAGAGTTGGGTCACGGCAGCAAATAAATGGGCAGCTCTGTCTGTGCGCGATCAGTTTCTAAGACAACGGGTTACAGCTTTCCAGTCGTTTCACCTAATACTGGAAAAATTGTTTCGTGCTTGCTGGTTCACTGTGCGGCTGACAGTCTTGCTCCGTGCATTCGTGACCTGGGGTACCGGGCAAAGAGCCGCAGTAAGAGTCAACGTTTAGTTCTTTCGGTTTGTTGGGGAAAAAAAACCCCGACAAAATCTTTTATGCTTGAAGTTGCATGCCGTTGTTTGCTGGTTGGGATGTGTTATGGTTGGTTTCGTCAATATTCCAAAGACATACAGTTAACCTCTCCCGCCCCCCAGAAATTCAGGTATGTGCTTACCTACTGTACGACGGTGTAGAAATAAACGTAATTTTGGAGGTGCAAAAGCCCTGTCAGTTCAGCCAACGCGTTGTAACATTCTTTGAAAACACTTGACCAGTTGTAATACGTTCATTTTCATTATTTATACAGACAAGATCGTGCAAATTCTTTTCGTTTTGACGAATTTTATCAAGGGAGCGCAATGCTTTGAAAAGGGATCTAGTAAAGGGTAGTATTTAGCTGTATTATAATAAAATTCTGAATCGCGTAGAAGACGGCGAGACGTGCGCCTTTCATTCAAAAAAGCCTTTTTGTCCTGCAGCACAAAAAACAATAGCAGCCGCAGCAGTAGTAGTAGTTTGGTGTCGGTTATGTAAACTACATTAATTTAATGATTTTACAATGCAAAGGAATCTGATTGCATTTACTTCCAGATAATAAGGGGGAAACATTAAATAAGGTGAAACTCTTGAAAGAGATATAGATATTTTTGCAAAAATTGCATTGGAACATGAATTTAGAAATTCTGGTTCATGTCATGGGAACCAGCAAACATGTGTGCTTGACCGCTGAGGGCTTTATAGTCTTGTTAAACCGTTTTAGCTTCTCCTTGTCTCTAATGAGCTAGTGATTCGTTGGGGATTGGTTACTAGTTAAACTGCTCTCACGGAAACATGCAAGAAGGAACAGAAAGGCTGCAGAATGCATGATGAGGGGTGTTGATCTGAGAAACCAGTAACCATACTGAGAGTTGCAAGTCTTCCAAAAAAATACTGGGGGGGGAACCAGTAGTTTATTGTTTTGACAGAAAAATGTGACCAAGCCTCAGCTCAGTTGCACACAGAGGCCTGAGTGACAAGGCTGGGTGTCATGTGAAATGGCCTTGGCTTTCTGTTTCTTCCTCTCCCAGCATCAATAAACATTGTTGAAAGGGAGGCTTCTAGCTAGCAAATTGTTTACTTTTTCGGAGCATTGCTCTCGCAGCTTCCTGTAAAAGCCTTCCAATGGGAATGTCTGCTTTTCTCTGATTGTACCCAGAAAAAAACATCTATTCTGGATACCCAAAATAGACTACATTTAAAATTCTTAAAACCCCTTTGAATAATCCACTGCTCAGGGGTAATGTACGTGCATCACATTCTCAGAAGGCCCTTATGTCTTCTGTTTTGGAGTTGAATTTGGGCAATGCTGCGCACGTTCCTTTAAGAATTACATTTGACGGGTACGAGTCTGCAGCCACAGTGGAAAAGGTTATTAAAAGAACTTGCATGTTCAGTCATTTGGCAGCACAGTTGGCTGCATTTTCCTATTTGTTGTGGTAGCATTCTGATTAGATGTGCATAATGTAGCTGCAGTGCGGCTTTGTCTTTCCAAAAACAAATTCTTCTCGTTATCTGACTTCAACATCAAGGCATGGCTGTTCTTGTGTCTGCTTGTCATGGGCCGGTTTTCGGTCACAATGACGTGCAAAAGACGTGTAAACCAGACAGACTAAAAAAAAAACAACACGATTTGGTCCCCAACAATAACTCAGGTTCACAAAGAAATAACACACTTGGAACTGCGTAAACAATGTTCTGCCTTGTGTGCTGAAATCGTGGATCATATCTAATGAAGCATGTGCTAAGCTTGGAGGCTACAGCACAATGCATATCGGATTGCATCTGACGTATTATAGCTGGCGTCTTGTTGGAACTGTAGGTTTATCAGTATTGGCTTAATAGTACAGCCTGCAGATGAACCTGTTTTTTTTTTCTTCTTTGCAAAACAGTTTACGTAACTTAGAAAAATGAACACGGCTGAGATGGACCATGGTGCAGATTTAATAAAAAATGCAAAATGCTGCTCACCTGCAGATTTCAGCCTTAATGCCACCAAGTGTCTTTCTGTGAAAGTCAAGCAAGAAACTGAAAGCAGACAGAGGTGCAGGTTAGTGCTACAGTCCTGGCATGACTGGTTGAAATCGGGGCTGTTTTGCTGGCTCACTGTGACTGGGACTTCCCAGGTGGTGGAGCTGGAGGCGAAGCACTGCCAAAAGATTGACTCTGAGTGGCTGATGTGCCCTAGATCTCACCTGGCTAACAGTGATGGCAGTACATCACTTGTCCATTCCCCTGCCTGCCACCGGACTGACGGAGGGGGAACAGAGACGATTTAGCCACGAACTGTTTCAACTTGGGAGGATTAGGACACAAAATAACTTTACAAATGTTTAATGATTGGTAGAGGCTTGACTGTTTTAAGTTCATACAGGCCTAAACTCGATCCTAAATTGTCTGGATTGTACCTGCTCTCATTGGATGTTAAATTGGTTAGAATTGTGTTGTGCCTGTGTTTAGATGGGGCTTGTCTTGTGTCATCAGCCCCATGCTGGAAGTCAAGCACTAGAATAAAGGAGCAATAAAGGTTTATCTGGAACAGATGGACTGTATGTGCAATATATTGCAATAGCAATTCAATTAATTATTAATTGATGCATGCTTCTTTCTAGTGCAATTACAGTGCTTACAAAAACCCTTTTTAGATTAAATAAAGATTTTGTCACTTATTTACACAGCTGGAAATGCTGGAGTAACCTGGCTTACAATAACCAAGCCCTGGTAGGCAAGATATGCTTTGTAGACTTGTTCTAGTATGGAGGCTTGAGATCTTTCAGTGTAATGTCCCAGTGTCCAAACATTCTGTTTCTGTTTTTTCTTGTTCTTTTCCAAGTGTTTAATTTACAAATTTATATTTTTATTCCTCTTTTATCTCTTTTTGAGCCTGTATCATATTGCATGAAGATATAAGTTTGGATTCCGTATATAACCACGAATGCAGTATCGGGTGGCAGAATGCAAGGCCTTTTACCAAACACGACTCCTGGTTTTGCAGCCTCACACGGGAGCCGTTTGTCAAGGAGTAACTTGAGAATGTTTTGCGACTCGGGGGCCTGTTGCAACACAGAGGATTTTGCTGGTGGCTCAAAAAGAGCTGCCTTTTGTTTGCATGCTGGGGACGTTCTGTCCTCTTAGTGAGCAGGAGGTTGTCAGCACCGATGACACTGATGGTGAAGGACGCCCTTCTGCATGGCTCAGTAGTCCGATCGGAGTTGCTCTTGTGCACCGACAACTTCTTGTTTTCGTCGATTTTGATTGTGCTGTATTTTCAGTGGAGTAAAAGAAATCCAGGTCTTCTCAAATGGATTTAAGCATGCCTCCAAATTCCGGCATGATGTTTTCAATCATGATTTGTGCCCAGCAGAATAAGGGAAGCCTCTTTTGTCTTTAAAAAAACGAAAACAAACACTGACCCTAACAAAAGACACGTGCTCCCTAAGAATGGTTTCCTTGCATTCCAGGGGTGTGCATGTTCCACATGTGCATGGTGTTCACATATCGCAAACCCTTCAGCTTCGATCAGGCGCTGCAGCCAGTGTGGGTGGTGGTGTGGGGGTGCAGGCGTCTCAGAGTGCTGTCAAACCGAAAGCTTGTCGCTCCAGAGTGCGCGGAGCCAAGCAGCGAGTTGCACAATCGCTCAGTTGAAAGCGGAGACAGAGGGCCGGGGTAAAAAGGCTGGGCCGCCTGGCAGGGCTGGAAAAGGGGGGGAGTGGACAGGGGTGGGAAGGGCTCTTCACAGATGACCTCAGGGCTTGTGCGCTTACTAGGCTTCAGACAAGGGCTCTGTGAAAAAATGTATACAGAGGTTTGGTTTTGTTTTGTGAGTGTTTTTTTTTTTTTTACTTCTGACCGGGAAGGAGGCAAGAAAAGTCAGAGGCGGTTGATTGGCTGAACCTCCTCTATAGCAGGAATGTTTGCCCTGTCTTTGTGTGCTTTTATTTCTTTTGTGTGTGTGTGTGCGCGCGCGCGCCTAGACAACTTGGAATGTGCAGTGTTCTTCTGCATCGCTGTGCATTGCACAAAACAATCACGCTGTATGTTTGACTCTGTTGGACTGTTTCTTTCTTATTCCTTTATTCGTGAATCTAAAAGGTTACTGAGAATTCGCAGATTTCTGTACTTCATGCACATTTGTATGCATTTATTCCTTGAGACATTAATATAATTATTAACCTTTACATAGAGTTTGTAGTCGTAAAAGTCCCTGGATTTCTTTTAAAGACAGGGAATGTACAGTATTTCATGATCTGTTTTGCTTTTTTAATTTAAGCGGCTGGCTGTTGCATAACTAACCCCCCACCTCTGTATTTCTTTAAGGTATGCCAGCAGCTGCAAGTTAGGAAAGCCGGGAGTTTCTTGGTTTGGATGCGTCCTGATAGCAGCTGGAGTATGTCAACAGCAGGACTTGCTGCCCAGGAGATACGTGTGCCTCTGAAGAGCCCTTTCCTGCACAGGACCCATTGCCCGAGCATGGCCAGCACCAGACCCTACTGGGACCAGCACAATGACCTGGACAAGTGAGTACTGACGCTGCTGGGAGAGCAGTCATTAAGGCATACACGTAAAATGGGGAAATTGTATTCAGTAACGTATACAAAATACTAATTGCGTAGCTGCTTGATCTGTGTGTTTTGTGAGTTCTTGGTGTTCTCTTGCCATTCCTTTACTACTTTGTTTCAAATTTCTTGCACAACATCAGGATATTATCCTATCTGCTGCTCGCATACATTTCAGCTGTTTCATAGACTATATCGTAATGAGCTGCAGCAGTTTTTGTGCACAGATGTAAAATACAATTTCTCCTAAATTCAGAAAGATGTGCGCATGCAGCAGGTTGTACATTTTTTTATGCATTGAGCCAAAGTCATTTTTTGCATTTGAATCTTCTTTATATGTATACCAATTGGATTGCTAAATATGCATGTGATTGTGTCTTTGGGCATATTGACTTACAGACCATATTTATGATCTGAGTGTTTTAAAATTGAGGCTTTATTACAGGGGAGTTTACTTAAAGATAACCTGCGCTGTGGCAACTTAGTCACTGTGCCTTCCCTTATTTTGCAGCTTGTACTTCAGCCTCGATCCAGCGTCATTAGGGTATAACCTCAAACCACACCAGCAGGTCCCTGTGTCTCTGAGCTTTGAGAGTAAGTACTGAAAGAACATTCCTGTGCTGATAATCGGCTCCACACCCAGACAGAGTCTCCTGTTGGGAGTGATTCCATACTCTCCTGCTTCTGGTTTGCTCAAGCTTCAGGAACTCTCCACCCCCACACAGACACAAATATACTAGGAACCCTCACCTACCAAGCTGTCTATTTATAGATTTCAGTGCATAAATGTTTGTTTTTTTCCTTCTTTGTGTCAAGAGTTTGAGCTGTGACAAAGAGTGGAGCCAATGAATAGTATTATCCAGCTCTGTTCATGGTGTTTTTATGCTTGGGTGATATAGCAAGCTTTACGCCTAATAATGCTGGGATTTATTTTGAGTGCGTTAATAGGCTTTTTTAACCAATCTCCTTCTGGCCATATAGTAATCTGCATCATTCAACCAGGACGGTTTCTTCTGGTGAAGTTTTTATTCAATGGCATTACCAGTCTGTGGGTGGGTGTTGTGGGCTTGGCAGCCTTCTTCTGCTCTAAATATAACCCCTGAGTGTATTCTGCGTACAAGGGAGAGGTCACCACGTGTTTGTCTGGTCAGCTAGTTTACTTGCAACTCCCAGGCACTGTGGCAAGAGCTTTGCGGTCACTTCAGAGCTGTGAGCAGCTTGGAGCTCTGAAACTTGGTGAAGCCACAGGCTGGCAGAGGAAACCTTGCAATGGTTTGCTTTGTAACACTTAGAAGCTTAGAAGTTTTACTTCATGGAACAGAGACTTGATGGGAATACTGGTTTCCTGCTTTGCAATCACGCAGATACTCTGCCTTTCTGACCTTTTTAATCAAGCAAAAACGCCACGAGTGGTGGGGGGGAAGGACTTAAAACAGACAAGTGACAAGTACATTATCTTTTGTTACTAAATATGGAATAGTTTGTCCCCTGTTTGCAAGGGTGGCACAAGAATGTGCTCAATTTGGATGTGCTTTTCAAGGTTGAAAGCCTTTTTCCTTGACGGCGTCAAGCTGGGAATTAAAGGGACATAGTTGCAAGGAATTCAGACTAGAGAATTTGAAAAATACTTAACAGCCGGCCCATGGTGATCTTTCTTTATTTGTTCAATTGTAATTTGTTCTGACCTTTTTGCTTCTTGCGGGTTGTGTTCTGTTCTAACATGGCTGGATCAAACAGGGCCCTGTGAGTGTCTCAGACAGCTTTTATTTCAGGCCAGCCCCCTCCCTCTACGCCCATGGTGTAATCTCAGGTTGTCAAGTATGTTCCCATTCATAGCTTCAGCCTGTCTAGAGACCCGATAGGGCCGTGTGAATTATAGGACTGTTGACTGCAAGTGGTTATTAAAGAGGTCACAGGCTATAGGAGATGGGTAACATGTATATAATTGGAAAAAAAAATCCAACCTGTGAATCCATTAGAGAAATAATTGCCTCATTTCTACAGGCAGAGTTCTTTGCATTTCAGTCAACGCAGAACAATTCTCTTGTGGATTACAGAGGGGGTGTTCCTTCAGTTCGTTTTTAATTAAGGTGTTTGGAATTCCCGGGAGAACTAAGACGTCGTTGAATGTCTCTGTTCTAAACCAGATGGTTTGCTTTTTCTTGCCTTGAGCATTCAGGTCAGATGTTAGAAAGATAGCATTCCTTGACTATTCTGACTGCTCCTCCAATTATATACTGTAACTCAGCTTTATTTAGCTTTTAAATACTGTGTATTTATGCCTGCTTGGCTAATGTTTTTTTTTTTTTAATCAAAATAGCAGCATCTGATTTAGTTGGATAATTGAAGGAACAAACCTTGTAAGGATATTAAGTTATGCCGAAATGACCATTTTTGTTGTTGTAGCCGAATTGGACTTCATTCCAATAACTCGCATTTCTTTTACTGTACCGCCATTGTGTTAAGAACATTATCTTCTACAATACAAAGTTACTTTACAGCAAAACTCTTTAGAAATGTGTCTGACAATAAAAAACCAAACAAAACACAAGCATGTTTTGAACCTTCCCCTTGATGGCAATGGGGATTCATTTGGTGTAAATTGCCTTGAGACTTTCCATTAGTGTAAAAGCCATAAGGGCCAGTCAATGCAGAGTCAAAGCACGAGGGAAAATCGTGGCTTTCGGCAGTTTGGTCTGTCTGTGTTCCTGAAAGTGGTGGCGGATGTTGTTTAAAAGTACAGAAGGTTATGGGAAGTTATTGGAAGATAGTGCCACTTATGTCCCTGATAACCGATTCCTGAAATAATCTCTCGCCATCCTGTTGTGGCTGAAAATACTTTAATGAAGAAAATAGCCAAAGTGTGCTGTTGTCTGTACTCTGGGCTTTCTGTGCAGTGTAATCTTTTGGTATGCGATAAGTGTGTATTCTACTTTCCTGTTTTTTGGCAACAGTGCACTCCTTCACATGCTGAGAAAATAGACCCTGAATGCTGTATCGGGTGTATTCCTTGGCCATAGATTACATAGAGAACAAATTATTTTTCCTGTCTCGGCTAATCAGTGCTTTTCCAATCTTGTTTTTTTTTTTGCTCAATAGGGCAAAACAGTCACCATCAATCCCCGCAGAGCCCTGGTGCGCAGCGCCTGCCGCCCAAGAAATCTCGCCCTTCCCAGCTCGTCCTGCCCCCCTGCACGGACCCCTTCTTGTCCAGCTCTCCGGAGGGCGACCAGGTGGTCCCCTCTTTCCAGAGGCTGTCCGTGTACGAGCGTACGCCCCCCCACACCCCAGGGAGGGGAGCCAAACCACTGCCTCCCCTTCCGGGACCGCAGAGCGCGGATCTGTCCTCGGATGAGGCCGTCGACAGCGAGGTGGAGTTTCTCACCAGCTCGGACGACAGCTGCTGCCTCGTGCCGGAGACCTGCTCTAAGCCCTTAGCCTTCCGGTATGGAGTGCCGAGCCGTCGCAGTTTCAGAGGCTGTGGGCAGATCAACTATGCCTATTTCGACGGCCCCAGCGGATCCCAGATCCAGGAGCAGCAGTGCCAGGAGGAGTCCGAGCAGCAGCAGCAGCAGGCAGCCGCCAAAGACGGCGCTAAACAGCAGGACCGTCCCCACCGCCGCCTGCGCCGGTCCCACTCGGGCCCAGCGGGCTCCTTCAACAAGCCTGTCGCCCTACGCCTGTCCTCCCACCATCCCGGCCACGTCCAGGACAAGCCGGAAGTCCCCCCCCGCGTGCCCATCCCGCCCCGCCCCGCCAAGGCAGGAGACTACCGCCGCTGGTCGGCCGAGGTGACCTCGGGGGGCTACAGCGACGAGGACAAGCCCCCCAAGGTGCCCCCCAGGGAGCCCCTGTCCCGCAGCGGCTCTCGCACCCCGAGCCCCAAGAGCCTGCCCACGTACCTCAATGGGGTGATGCCCCCCACCCAGAGTTTCGCCCCAGACCCCAAGTACGTCAGCAAGGGCCTGCAGCGGCAGAACAGCGAGGGTTCGCCCGCCTGCCGCGCCCCCTGCATCCTGCCCATCATCGAGAACGGGAGGAAGGCCAGCACCACCCACTACTTCCTGCTCCCCCAGCGGCCCGTCTACCTGGACCGCTTTGAGAAGTACTTCAGGGAGGCCGAGGCCGAGTCGGGCGGCGGCGGCCCCAGCACGGACTCCAAGTGGGACTGCCAGGCGAAACGGAAGCACCACGCGCACGTGGTGTCGCCGTAACCGTGGCCGCTGGAGAAGGCCGCCCTTCGCGGGGCGCTGTCTGGGAGCGCCCTGCCGCCATCGCCCCCCCCCACCCCAAGCCGAAAACGTTCGGGCGGCTAACGTCGTTTGTCCGCCTGTGCTGACCGATTTGTTTTCCTCAAAGCCAATAACCGCTTAAAAGTGGACACTTTTAAAAACAGCCTGCCAGACGGTTGTTTTCGTTTTCTTGTTTTCTCTTCATTTTACGAAATTAGTAACGCATATCTGCTGGGAGGGAGGGGTAAGCGATGTACCAACAGTTTGAAGGGGTTTTTTCTTTTTCCCTCCCCAGAAAAGCAAAACTTGCCTCAAGACATGGATTCAGTATCTTGCATTTAAGAAAAAAAAAATCGAAATGGAGTTATTCAGACAGTTATCTATTGTGGGGAATATAATTCACTCAGACGTTATTTTTGATATTGCTGTTATTTTTATGAATGTTGTATGAATATTAGTATTGTGGTGTTGACCTAGTAATGATACTATGTCAGGAGGTGTGACACAAGCTGGACTTGTGCCTTGCTCTTCAGTGTTTATTTCTCGTACGCAGCGCTGCAGATAGTGTTTCCGTCGTGTGTGGTTTGTCAGTAGTGGCTATTGTACTGTACTTCCAGGCAGCAGCTTGTGTATGCTGTAGGAAGAGTCGGAGAGGGTCACTTTGAATTCATGAGGGGGCGGAAGTAAAAAATTTATTTTTTCTTTTCTGAGTTACTATGAAGGCAAAACTCATCATGTACAAAACCTGCCTTCCTTTGTGTACTGTATGTGCAGAATCCAGCTTCTGTGGCTGTGTTTGGAAACTGGAGTACAGCAGGAGTTCGGCTGTTCTCCTCGTACCGAATGCCAGACAGAGTGGTTTCTGTGTGTATAATGAGGGAAGGGTTGTACAGTGTGTGTATGTGTGCGTCTGGGGAGTGGTGTACAGTGTGCGTCTGTCTGTAAAGGCAAGAACAGTGTGTTCCCGATGTTTGTGAGATGGGCTGAGGGGGGAGTAATGGTGTTCTGTGCATTGTGATTGAGTGTCCGTGCGTGGGAGACCAGCTGTGTGAGGACTGTGTGCTGTCTGTTCCGGATGTTCTAGAAAAGCCAAACTTTTGTTCTGATGCATTACCTGACTTTTTTTCTGCTATCATTTGCCCCCGGATATACTGGATAACTAAAGCAGTTTCAATGCAGGAGTACATAATACCCAGATGAACTAAAAAAAAAAAATATGAAGGAATCTCTTTTCAACAAGTCTTGTTTTGTTTTTTTTCCTGCACAAAAAAGTGGATCTGTTCTGCTCATGAATGTATGTCATTGTTTTGTTTGTTTTTTAAATTGTCTGTTCTAGTCATGTCTGGAAATAAATTGATTATGGCTAACATTATCTGATCCATAATCACAAAATACTAGAATAATCCAATTCTTTCTGTTACCTCAATCTAGAACTAACTACATTGAACAAGACTGAGCTAATGGGAAATACCAGGCCAGTTCGGAAGGAGTATCTTAGCTAAGCCCTCCTTTAACTTCGACACGCATGGCCACACATTTCTGATTAGTGGATTTACAGTCCTCTTGGGTCTTTAGAGCCTATTCAGAAATGTGTATTTGCTCCTACTAATACTACCGTAAAGCTCAATCTTGGAAGTTTTTTTTTAAATACCATGTACTCTGTGGTTGTTACATTCACATTTTGTTACATTTTGACTTTTAATAATATTATAGTAAATTTTTTCCCCTTTTTCTTTTGTTTTCAGTTGATCTCAAATGGCCATATTTTATCCAGCATCATCTAGAGAGGAAAAGTTGGGAATCAGAATTTAATAGAAATAGAATCCATTATCCAACCATTGCAATAGTATTGGCTTTCTGAAAAGCCAGGTTTTATTCCAACATCAAAAAGACCACCTTCTGTAAAGTGCTGTCTGTAACAAGCACTGCATGTGCGTTCCAAATTCAGCGTTTCGAGGTGGGGAAAATTCAGAACTTTCCTTTAACAACCCAGTTTGTACATCCCATTTGTCCAACTGCCTCGCACCAAAGTTCTCATAGATGTCTGTGTGTGGTATCAATGCACATTCTCTGCGGTTTTTATACTGCAATATACTGGGGTCAATTTAAAGGGAAGATGGAGTCACTCAATCTTTCTAAGATCATTTAATCCAGCTCTTTTTACTACCCTTGCTGAGTGGATGTTAATTATATTGGTTTAGAGGATCTGGGTTTATCAACTTAAAAAAAAAATTAAACCCAGGTTACTGAACTGAAATGGCCTTATCTGACATGCGTAGCATTTCCTGTACATAGACTCCTGTCTGACTGTGATTACAGTGGGTGTGGTTGTGCAGACTTTGGCTGCTGGAAGCTAGAAAATACGTTTTCAATTTTATAAGCTCTTTTTGTTTTAAAAGGAAAAAGTGTCAAGCTGAAACTACATATGTAGCATTTACGTTGCCGATTTCAGCACGGATGTAGTAAAAAGAGGGCCCCGGGCCACTTTATTTGTTTTAGGAACGCATACTTCTGCTCGTAGGATGGTTGTAAGGTGTGTTTAAAAATGAATCCCTGCTTCCATCATCTTCTGTCTTCTGCACCCCCTCCACTAGCAGAGAAGTAATGTTACTGATAAACCACCTGATTCGAGGACGCCTCCTGTTCTGTTCTGCAGGGAATTGCACTGCCCTCTGCTTTGTGTATGATTTTCTCCAGGTACTTTTTATGGGCATGGTGTAACTGATGACAGGGGTGCCGCTCGGATTTCTTTGATAGCTGTGATCTTTGTATGGTTGGTAGGGCAGAAGACCATGTGGGGTCAGGTTTGCCGTTGTCTCCTAGGTGCCTACTGTAACCTCAAAAAAAAAAAAATCACATAGGGGCAGCAGCAGCATCTGCTTACAGATTTTTACTGTTTTTGATGGCGGTAGATCTCTTCAGCTGCAAGGGGATTGTTCTTGCTCAATACTTTCCATAATTGAAAAGGAGAATCTGTTTAACCTGCCCTTTAGTTTCTCATCCTTACTTCAGCACGTGGACCCTGTTCTCAACTGTTAGCTGACCTTTTTTTATCAAGAGACGTGATCCAATACATGAGTGTGATGAAGATGTCACTCTTGTGTGATGTCTCAGTGATTCTAGAGGAGCATTGATACAAATTCAGGACATTGCTGCTGCACCTGTTCTGAATAATCTGTTTCTCATCACAAGGGTTTTGGAGGGTTTTTACCCCCCATAAAAAGATTTAGCAGATTAAACGTGTTTAATTCCCAATAAAAGTGACCTGTACTATATTTATAAGTAGCTTGAGGATCTGTGAAAGATTTTCAGAAAGATGGCAGTGAATTGAATAGTACTGGAACTTTTATTTTCAAATTAAAATCCTTCAGCCTTTGTGATCTAACCCCAGAATGATCTATTACATTGGAGATTTAAGATTATATTTAATAAAAGCACAGTTGTAAGCCATCTACATCATACATTTATGCAAAGATAGACATGCTGACCGGATAATATATGTTTTTGTCGTTTTTTTGTCAGAAACTTGTTTACATTTATAGAACTGCTAGATGTGAATTATTTAATATCTTAACCTATTTACACGTCTTACTAAAAATACTTAAATGAAGGCACGTTCATCATGAATGAATTGACATTCTCTACTGTGTGGTAAAAGCAAATGCACTGATATTACAGTATGTTGTAATGTGTACAGTATTTGACAAAATTCCTTTTGTCATATTGAAAAATGTATGTTATCCATAATACTCTGTTGTCTATAAAAACAAAAAATAAAATTACTTATTTATGAAGCCATGGGCGTTTGGGATTCTGTTGCAGTTCTATCCATCCACTGAAATTTCTACTCAAATGATCTAGTTCAGGGTCATGGGGGAGGTGGAGCCTATCCCAGCAAGGCAGGTTACACCCTGCATGGATCAGAGGGCACAGACACAAACACGTATACACTCACACTAGGGCTATTTTTCCCACAAGCCAATTAACCTGCTGACATGTCTTTGGACTGTGGGAGGAAACCCATGCAAACATAGGGAGCACTTACAAACTCCATGCAGATCGCTTTGATCCCAGATTAGATTGAACCCGAGGCCCCAGCACTGCAATGGTAGCCCCTGCATCGCCATGCTGCCCTTCTGTTGGAAGTTCTTAATGTATGCACGTGCAAAAAAATCACTATTTGTTTTTTAAATCGATTTACTGGGTGGCTTTTTTTTGTCCCATGTGGATTGTCCCACTTGCACGACTACCACATTATGCCAATTGTGTGATCCACTTAGTGCGTTATATTTTCTTAAAAACTCAGAGAGCGCATTTCTGCAATAGAACTGTGGATTTTTCCACTGAAGGAACATCAGCTTCTCACACTTTAAAAATCACTTGTCACATTGGGCCTCGAGTAGTAAGTGCAGTTACATGAAAGTGGGCAGTCCAACAATTTAAAAACAAATTTATGTAAAGATGAAGAGCTTCAATGAAGGACAGAAGATTGCCTACTATGGGATAATAGAAGAATGATTACACTACTGACCATCAGTTAAATATGTCACCTGCCTTAACATTAGGAATCTCTGTCACTTAGCTGGATGAAACCTTAAGAAAGTCACAACCTGTTGTACTAATTCCCTATCAAAACCTGTAATCTCTACAAAGAAATTAAGGCATTTTAATATAAATCGCTATTTATTAAAGATTATAGGCCTGTTAATTATTTCATCGTGTCCGAAATCTGAAATCCTTAAAGGAAAGTATGCAGCAGGGTTTATGACCGACGAAAACTTAGTCTGCAGTCCTCTGTCATTGTAGAGCCAACCACTATGGCATTTTACAGCTATATTACTGAATATGATGAGCACAAAACTGGATTGAGATTTTTTTTTCTGAAATCTCTTGCTTCGGCGAGGTGTGTTTTATCCACTTGATTTCACAGCGCTTGGCAGTGACTTGCGGTCACTGGTGCTTCCAAAAGATGTTCTATCCTATAACAAAATCACCTGCAAACGTGTTGCCTTTAGTGTGGCAGTAGGCACCTGGCCTGAAAATAAAACATACAATTGCATGAAGCAAACCAAATTATCCTAATATAGACAAAAAGGTCATTTCTAATTAGAGACACTTGGCTGTTCTAGGCTGTTTTCAGGCAATGTTTTGTTTTCCAAAGAGATTTACTTTGTTGTCGTCTCAAATTACAATGAGGTGGCAACAAAGGAAGTAATCCTGTTCACTCCTGATTCAGCAGTTTAAGATTTGGTTAAATACGAGTTCTTCACGTGAGACCGTGACCCCCCTAGAGAATATAGGGTTGTCTGTCTTCTTGCTTTAGTCACATTCCAACACCATCTATTGTGGGTGAGTTTACTTCCTCAGCAGTTTCTTTGCAACAGTGTAATGCATGACGTATTCAGGAGAACCCTGTTTAGATCCTCAGCATGTGACAGTTAACTGACATGTTGACACACTACCTCCATGAAATAAACAACAGCTTTTCTCCTTATCAGTACAGAAGGGATTGGGGGAGCTGGGTTAAAGTCAATAACAAGGCCTGGGCAGTGCAGGAGATTAGCAGACACTGAGACTTGGTGTTCCTGTTTTTACTGATTACTGTGTTTGACAAACCCATGGCCAAGCCTGTTTTTTTATTCTATAGGGACCCTTGTTTTTCCATCAGCCTTGGCCACAAACCTTTACAGCTTGTAAACATTGATTCTGAACCAGCTGTCTGATGAGAGCAAACATCACCTGTGCAATCTAGGTCACCTCCCAGGAAATTAACCCTTCCAGCACACTGCAGCCTCAACAACAGCATGGAGTGATAGCACAGGGCTTTTAGTACAGGAGCAGGGACACAATTGCTCTGCCATTACTCTGCAGAGTACCTTCCATTACTTCATGAGAAACAAGATCAGCAATGGACAGAATGACTAATTTTGTATCATACACTAGGTACAGTATAAAGGAAAACACATGTATTTGTTATGGGACTTTTTAGGCGAAAGACCTGCATAGTAAGATATGCAGATTCATCACAGTAAACCCGTTCAAGAGCTCTGTGAGCTAGGCTGGTGTTATATTACAAAGAAGAAAAAGAAGCAGAATTGCTTCATTTAACAGTTAAGAAATGCGCCCCTGTCTGGATTTCTCACTTGTAAAGGCAAACAGTAATTTTCAGTTGAGTTTGTTCTGTGGGACAGGAGTGAGATTTACTGCAGTCATTATGAATTATGACTATCTTTAGTACTATTAATACAGTGATAGTGGGGTACCTGGTCTGTTCAGGCTCAATCATGCTCTCAGACAAGCATAATAGGGTTATTCGTTTATTTCCAGTTTTACTGCCACATTAATCTGCGCCTTTCCCAGTGTGGGCAGCCTTGTCACTAAATTATAATCTGCCAGCCGAACAGGGCACCCAGCTCAAGGCAATTCGCCCACAGCACTTAAACTGAAAGACATTACAGTTTCTAAACTGTATATTATTACACAGCATGACAGTGCAATTCAATGAAATGAAAGAATACTTTGAAACAGAAACTTGTATAAATTGACTACTTTTAATTAGCAACATGCTTTAAAATTGCTGTAGTGAACACCTGCTCATTGTGGGCACAGTGGGCAGCAGACAGCCCCTTTAAACAGATGAGCTGTTTCATACAATAGATCTGTGATTCTCAACCAGTGGGCATCGATCTACCAGTGGTCTGTGAGGTGCTCTCTAGTGGGTCCTGGAGTTGATACATAATGAGCGGAAGTGCTCATTAGGCCAGCATTATACAGTATATAGTATCAGTGATCATACAGTATATCACTGTACCCATCTGGGGTATGGTGGTAAACAGGATTAATTACACTCAAACTATATTTTGAGCCCTCAGTCATTTGTGCTAAAAACACTAAGCTTCTGGGTTTCACAGGATATTGAGCATGGCTCACTTGATTGTCATCAATTAGAAACCGATGTGTTCACAGTTGTTGTTTTGAAATTTGGAGGGGAGAAGTGACTTTACTTTTAAGTAACAGCCTCCATTCAGACAAATGAGTGTTTTCAATGAATATTCCTCTCGGTCACTGCAGGCAATCGTGTTTCTGTTGCCTTTCTCTGCCATGTATCTGTGTGAGTCAAGGTTTTCACCTGTGCCTGTTATGAAAACAGAGTAGGTGTAAGCTGTAAACAACTTTAAATGCTATGCTCCATGTCAGCCTTTCTCAAATTCCACTCCAGCCTGATCCATTTATTTCCTAGAGACAAGCCCAAGTATCTCACTGGAGGTATACAGTGTATGTGTTTATGTGTGATTATCACTGCAAACAGCTACTGTACATATTACTTTAAATTCAAAATGCCCTGTTTAACAGCGGTATCATTACCTTCCTGCAGTTCTTCTTGTCAGGTTGTGCCTGCAGTGATGTTAGTGTGCAGGTCAGGTCAAGGCAAGTCAGTTCCAGCTAATCCTTAATTATTTTAAGTGTATTTAAGGTAATAGAAGTGTCAAGCTGTGCTGGTCTATCTGGTCTGTCTTTTCCAAATCTGCACCCACAGGCTGTATCTCAGCTCACACCTACTCTGGAGCAATCCTCACTATTTTATTCGACATACCAAATCTTGTATTTTAGTGTTTTTATGTTTTTCAAATTTATAGTGCATGTGTGAGCGATTGATGTACTGTTTATATTGTGTTCTGTATATACGGGGCTTTTTATACAAAGGTGCAATGCAAGATGGATTGATGGAAGTGGTGTGTTAAAGGGGAAGAGCAGTCCCAACTCCTCAGAGCCGTTATTAAATCTCAGTAACAAAATACATCAATAGGTGGTATCGCAAAATTGTATGAATTTCTAATTAAGTGTAAAATCGTGAACTTTGTACTGTGGTATTGTAGAGTTGCCATGTTGTTGCAAACCCCTGGTCTCACCACAGCAAGAGCAAGAGTTCACATTAATTGTGACATGAAGTGGCCCTTCCTGCTCACTAGTCCCTGTAAGCAAGTGAGAAACATGGTCCCCCAACAACGTTAATTATTGTGAGTGTATTTGAGTTAGTTGGCAGGTTGCTCATTTTTTGCAATACTATCTAAAATATGTTGCCTTGTGTCTGTTCCATGAAAATGTTTACTATTAATATAGTAGTAATATAGGGATGTTTTTGCATCATTGGAAGTTTTGTTGCCTCGTTCTGAACTGTAGATGATGAGGGCAATATGG